ATCTGTATTGCTGAGGAGCTGCTGCACATCTACAACTTTTAACGAGTGTCAATTGGCGCCCTAGGGCGAAAACACGTCACCAATCCAGCAAAAATTAAAACGGCTTTACTCGTCATTAATAGTTGAATATTTATCTTGCACATTTAAAATATATATATCAATACATTTTTAAATATTTTGATTTTTTGTCTTAATCAAGGTCATTTGATTAGTGGGGCAGCGCCCTAGCACCCTTGGCCAGCCGCAACCGCCTCCATAGTCAGATGTAAAACCCCCCCTTATTTTAAATTTGTAATGACTATATATATGATATTTGTTCATGTGAAAGCACTTAATTTGATTTTCTACATAAGAGAACCCTGAAGGGACTCTTTCACACCCTTTGGATAGCATCCTTTATTAGTATGAAGAAAGATTCTCATTGGATTTCAACAAAGGATTTGTAAATGTGGCTCTGTCATGATAAATAATGTCATCTGATTAAAAATAATAAAAATGCTAGTTTGCATCAGACACATTCCGTTCCAAGTTCTTTATAACAATAAATGTGATCTGTGCCGGATTGTTTTGTATGAGCTTTATATTCCAAACCCAGGATTCCTGCGATGTTCTGCGTAACGAGCTCTGATTCCTCCTCCTGCAGCAAACGCTGGCCTGCTCCATCCTGACCGCTCTGCTCAGCGAGTTCTCCAGCTCCAGTAAAACCAGCAGCATCGGCCTCAGCATGGAGTTCCACGGCAACTGCAAGCGTCTCTTTCAGGTTGGTTTCTTGAACCCGCATCTTTGCCCCTCCCCCGCTGCAATCAGAGCCCCTTTTAATCTTCCATCCCCTCCAGGAGGACGGCTTGCGGCAGATTTTCATGCTGACCATGGAGGTGCTGCAGGAGTTCAGTCGTAGAGAAAACCTCAGCGCTCAGATGTCGTGTGTCTTCCAGCGCTACCTGGCTCTGGCCAACCAGGTCCTCAGCTGGAACTTCCTGCCTCCCAATCATATCCTTTGCTTCTATGAAGCTCTTTGGCAAACTATTTAGAAAACTTATTTTTTTCAATTTTCCAACATTGTTAGATCAGAAAAGATCAATTTTGGACATGCAGGATAAAGTGCAGCATATCTATGTGACAGAAGCAAAGTTTTCTTTTAGTTTTTTATGCTTTATTTGTTTAGGGTTTGTGTCTGGTCTGCCTGAGGCAATGATTTATAGAAAAAAAAAAACTTCTTTGCTGTTGAAGCTGGAAGCCTTTTGCTTTAACTTCACCCGATTTTGCTCCTGTAGAGACTGGAATTTGTGTTCATGTTCAAGCTGAGATTTGGTAGGACATATCTTATCCAGATAGTGTTAAAACAGTTATTTATCCGTTTCATTCTAGCTCTTGCTATATGTTGAAGCGATGCAATGGACACCTTTCTAGTGACCGCCTCTGCCAGCTTTGGTGCGTCTCTGCCTTGCCTCTGTAGAGGGAGGGATTCTCTCCTAAAGCGCGATAGTTTCAGGTTCGGGTCAGATGGAAGCATCGTAGAGAACTATGTAGATCAGGATTACAACAAAATCACAAAAAAAGTAGAATGCATTGGTTCAGTTCAGAGCTTAACGGGGGATGGAGACCTGAAAAATAATACATTTCTCTGAAACAAGAGTGAACAAATACTTCGTTAGTTCAGTTAAAATGATCATTTTTTTAGTTTTGTCAATTCAGACATCATAGATTGGTTAGATCGGCAACCACAGAAAGTTCGGCTGCTGTTGGTCCTGTAACGTTTGGACACATCCTGGCAAATGACTCTGCTACCTCCTCTGAATTTCCCCAAATTTCAAAACAAGCCTCATTGGTAACCATTAGGGGTGTAAATCACACCCATCATGGCGATTCAATTCAGTATGGATTTCCTGACCCAACGATTTGATTATTTTTGTTACTCAAGAATACACCACGATACGATTCGGTTCGGTTAATTGGTTCTTTTTTCTTTCTTTTTTTTTTACACCTTACAGGCTAGACGATGTTTAAAATTTTAAATTAAACAATGAAAGCTGTAATATCGTTATGCATTTTTTTTTTAAAACAACAGCAAATAACAGAAGTAGAAAAGTTGCACTCCACCGATTCCTATTAAAACCTCATTCACTGAAAAATAATAATACCCCTGCGTTATAGATTCTGAAAGGCCTTGCATCAAAAAATACTGCACAAAATCAGTGCAATGAGTGCAATGCAATACCTCGGCTCCAAACGTCCCCGCCCCCTCCACAGACGCTCCGCTGCACCCCTCTCTAATTGTAGCTGACCGCAGACAGTGCCACAGACAGGAGGCCGGCTTGTTTTGTTTTTATGACCGAAATTGTGGAAAACAGCTCGTGAAATTTGACCCGCTAGAAGAGAGAGAGAAAAAAAAAAAAACGAGTTGATACTCTTGCGGACGTATCGATGCATCGGATTGTCGGCTGTTGGATCGATGCATCGATACAAAATGATTATTATTTACACCCCTAGTAACCATGGTGGTGGAAAAAGAGACATCAGCACTAAACTGTGTGTTTTTTAATCAACTTTTAGCAGCTTCCCTGTCCTTCCCACGGCATGATGGTGTCACCATTATGTCTCACCATGAGAAGGTAAAGATCAGTGTTGGTTAACAATCTGAAACTTCTTGCACTCGGGGCCCAAAGGTGTGTTTTTTTTGTTTTTTTTTTTGGTGTAATCCAACCAGATCACATCCTTTCTCATTTTTCCCGTTTACCATTTGGAAAACAGAAAGTGGAAGCAGGGGATTTAATGGCTGTCTTTAATCGCCCACCTTTCTTCAACCAGTCTTCCTTAAACCACAGGGGTGTCCTCAGCAGATTCTCCCACCTTAGCTGTAGATCTCTGCAGCTCCTCCAAAGTCTCCCTTTAATGCTTTCCTTATTCTCTGTTAGATGTAGCTCAAGAGGTCTCCTTCTAACCTCACCTTGTTATAAGCTTCATCCCCGATACGTCTACTTTGTTCTCTGGTTTTTCAGGAAGCCGTTAAAGTTTTAAAACAACTAATTCCTTTGAATAACACTGAAGCTTGTTGTTCTGATTAAATGAGTGGAGTTTCAAAAGGTTTACAAAGGATCTTATGTTTCCTGCTCATGTCTCCAAATACATGTCGCTGAGAAATGCATAGCTGTCAGCAAGTCGTGCTCTTGTGCACACATCCGCGTTACGTTTGCAGTTGGCCGCATTGTTGAGCAAACATAGGCAGGCCGAGTGTGCGTCTGGGTGTTTGTGTGCTCAGCCTGGCTCATTACGGCTGTAATCCCCTCAGCCCAACATCCTCTGCCTGTCTGAGGGGATCTGGAGTGGCGCTTGGTGCCAGCCAGAGCCGTGGATCATTTTCAAAGAGGGGTCCCTCCCCTTCACCCTCCCCCATCTTACACCCATGTTTCATTCCAGGAGCGTGGCTGCCCCGCCTGGGCTCGTCACGGCTCCCCCTTGGTATGCCTGGCACGCTGGGCCCAAACCGTCTGCCTCTCAAAGAGCCGCTTTCATATTTTTAAGACTGATCCGTATCAAGTTTTAGTTGATATTATGTCGCCGCATCTTTAAGAAGCTGAAGGAGCTTCAGGATGTCTGGTCTGCTGTGGAGGTGAAGGATTTGTTCGTCCATCTTCCACTCTGCCGGGTAGATTAGCATCTTAGCGCAAATCTGGATCATTCAGCTGGTTAACTCAACTGATTATGATTTGATCTTTCAGCTAAAATCTAACTGAAAAAAAATAAATAATTTTTTTTTTAAAAACATCCTTTAACACAAGGCAGGCTTTAAGGTTTCTGATCCCTCAACTGTTTATATAAAAAATACACTGAAGAAACAGGAGTTTTTCTCAAAGAAGAGAATCCCAAAAAACAGTTCCTTATTCCACCTTGTTGGTGGGATAAAAATAATCTTTTAATTCCATATTTGGTTTTAATCCACTTGTGTTTTTCTGATTATAAAATGAATCAAGTAGTTAAATCTGAACTAAGAAGTAATTAGTTATAGCCCTGCAAATAAATGAAACTTTGATTGTTTAATCCTTCCTTGCAGAAGCTGATATTTAAGTGAATAATTTTGTTGTCAAAATAATTTTTTTTGGGCGTGCAGGCGGCGCAGCGGTTAGTGATTGTGGCGTTAGTCCTCGAAGCGGCCGATCCGGGTTCAAATCCAGCCTGTGGTCCTTTGCCGCATCTCTCTCCCCCTCTCTCATACCCCTTTCGTCTTAGCTTACTATCGAAAAAATTAGCCACTAGTTCCGCAAAAACTCAAAAAAATAACATATAAAAAGTAATTTAAAAAAAGTAGTTTTCCTTGTTTTGAGGTTTTAAGTCAGACAAAGACAATGGAATACGAGGATTTATTTTAAACATGAAAAAACAAACTGCGTTATCATTGTTCAGGTATTTTATATCTTATTCTCAGGACAAAAATCCTCCTTCAATTGGCAGATAAACTTGTTTTTCTGCTCAAATATTAAAAGCAAATATTTAAAAATATTTTCCACAAGATCAGTTTTTGCTTCAGGAATCCTAAACTGCTCATCTCTAACTCCTCCAAGGCTCTAAGTGGGATTTCAGCTCCTTGAGGTTCAGTATTTAGTTGTCAGCTAAATGCAGCAAAGGCTGCTGGGTAATTTCTATAAGCAGGGATCTTTAGCCTCTCATAAATAGAGCCGTTCTCTCCTCTTCATGTTGACTTGTCATAAATGTTGACTACCATCTAAGCCCATAAAAATAGCTCCTGGCTTCTTCCAGGGAGCTGCGCTCTCCTTGAAATCCGCAGTGCGTGTGAAGTCTTGTGATTCCAGGAGCCGCTGTTGAAAAGCAGAACAGATTGATGAAGTCCCAAAGGAGCGTGTCCCTGTCTGCGAGCGCCGCACCAGGTGTGATCTGAACATGCAAGTCTTCACAAACGCGGCCACGCAGGTCTTCTCCGCTCGCTGTTCCTATAGCTTTGCCGTCCTCCTGACTCGCTACAGCCGGACCTCCAGCCGGAAAACGCCTAGAACTCAGATTCTAACCTTGAACTCAGATGCTACATCACAAAAATCTGATCCGCACCATCAGCTCATTGGCGCATATTCATCCAGGTCGCTAGAAATATTTTCATTATTGGACTTAAAGTATTGTTTTTTCTATCTTAAAATTACCAAAGAATGCTTCACTACATATAAAACAAATTTTTCAATTTCTGAGACAATTTTTACATTCTCTCTGTTAAAATGCTTGTCTGACGTCATCATCGGGAACGCTCAGAGCAGTCCGGCAAAATATGATTACACTGTTTGTATCTGCATTTAAGTTGTTTCTTCCTTTAGATTACACATTATAAACCATATGTTTAAAATGAAAGGAGAAAAAACAATTAGCAAAGACTAGATTTATTTATAAATCCAAAATCTAAAAAGTTAGCTCCTGGAAGTAGCCTAGTATCCCATTTTCTGGACAGATCAAGCACAGACGATATTATTCTGATATTATTCTAATATTCTCTCAATAAGTCTGAGAGGATTTTGTTTTCAGACATCGTAAATCAGTTGAATAAATCTAAAAAGATTAGAAGCATTCTGCATAATGCTGCCGAAAAATCAGCATCAGAATGTTGTTCTTCTCATGTTCGATATTTTGCAAGCTAGCGTCTGTTTCACTCATGAGTCTCTAAACTCTACCAGCGACGGATTAAACTCCGCCCCCTCATTTAAATATGAGAACATAAAATAAAAGGAGTTTAAATGAAAAACTGTTAAAAAATAAAAGTCACTGAATAGGTAAGGTACCTTTACAAAATGTCAAAGTGTCAAAAATATAATACTACATTATGAAATAAATATCGTAATGAAAAAGTCTTGAAATATAAGATAATTAAATGATTTTAAGATTTATTAATTGCTTAATTTCATGGGGATATTTATTTATTGACAATTTATCAATAGCGGTATTTACTTAATTTTAATTTTGAATGACACTGCTCTCCATACCAATTACAGATC